GAAAAACAGCACTCTCCCAGTCCCTAAAACAACCCCAAACACCCTCTCCTCCACATTGCCATTAGAAGCCCCAGGGCGATTTCCCATGGGGCAAATGCCATCCTCTCTACTTCTCTGTCCTGCCCCTGGCCCTTAATTCTACTTGCTGCCCTAAGTTTGAGACTAGTAAATGCAATCAGAAACAACTGGATAAGTAACTAAGTCCTGGCTATGCTCAAATTTAGCATCACATTCAACTGCAGAACAAAGTTGATCGTTTTAGTCACTAGGTTTCTATTTAATATTAGTACTGCGCAGGGTTTCACTTTTTTAAAAAAAATTCAATCCAGCCACAATTAAATGTTGAGTTCCTCATAGTACAGTCCTTGGGCCTCCTCCTCTGTCAATTCATTAATTGCCATTTTATACCATCTCCCAAATTTCTAGCCTTTAATTCTGAACTATAAATTTCTATATTCATTTGACTAATATTTTCACTCTGATATCTCAGAGGCACAAATCCATAATGTTCAAACCTCACCCTTCCTGATACTGCCTACCACTGAGTTGCACAAGCTGGAAAACCTAGAATAATTCTTTGCCTGCAATCTCTCTCCGTTTCCAGTGTTTCACCAAGTCCCATTATTTTTTCTTTTGAAGTACTGCCTCTTGGTAAAGTCCAATTCTCTGCCATCTCTACCACGATCACTCTAGTCCAAGCTATAGTACTATTCACCTGAACCCGTGCAATAGCCTCCTAACTTGCTTCCCCACATCTACTCGCCTCTTGCATGTGTGAATTTACCAAGAAACACACCCACCCAACACCACAGTCCATTCTACAGCCAGCATATTCTTTGTCGTTGTTGTCATTATCAGTAGTGTTGTTTATGCACATCTAATTGGGTCACTCTTCTTTAAATCCAAACTTGAATGTTCTGATACTTTGGATCTCAGCTTATCTGTCACTTCTTCAGGAAAGCCATTCCTGATTACACCAAAGTAGATTAGGTTCACTATTATATATTCTCATAACACACTGTAACTCTCCTTCATAGGAGTTATCACAAATTGTACATCTGTGTGATAATTTGATTAATACCCATCTTTTCCAATAGATTAAGCTCCAGAAGAAAGAGCAAGAACCATGTCTACCTACTAAACCACTGTATCTTTAGTGCCTAACATAAATATTTATGAGTAAAATACATTCCACTCAATTCCATTACATCTGATTTTTTTCATTTAAAAAACTTTAAAAAACATTATTTCATACTCCCTTAAAACTTTACGAAATGCTACCTAATACAAAACCCTCAGCTTTATGAAACGAATGGTTATTTTCTCTCTTTTTCTTTCCCTGCCCTAATCCACACCATCTGAAAGATGCCATCAGAGTTTTACCTGGACCAATTCAGCAGCAACATTGAGTCGAAGTGAGAGAGGCAGTTCTTGAAGGGCTTGAACCAATGACTCACAGTTCACATAAAATGCTGAATTCTATTAAAAATAAATAAATATAAATTACATATATCATACATATATGTGATCTATATATATCGGGTGACGATTACAAATGTCCTTTTGGAAATAAAAAACAAGCTGGAAAACCTAGAATAATTCTAGAAAGTAACTAAATAAATCATCCCCTAGAGTTATTTTTAGCTGGGAGTAAAATCATAAATCACACTTGATACGGTTATAATGTCTATCATCTCCACATTAAGATGAGCAAAACCAAAACCACCTTCTTGAGCCACAGCTCACGCTCTCAGAGCAGCAGCAGGGTAATGATCACCACCACATCCATTATGCACAGCAACCTGGAAACTGGACCAAAAAAATAAAAACGACCTCAAAGAAAAATAAGCATTCAATGAAATCTAAGTGGACGCCTCCTTCAAACTCAGATGGCTGGACTTCAGGAGAGCAAGGAAGAGCTGTCTAGGCAGTGGGATGGGACCGAGGAGCACAGCCAAAGGAGCCGTGAGGTACACGCTTCTCTTCAAAACAGAAAGCAAAGGATGGAAACTTACCTTCAAGTCGGGAGCACTCTGTGTGGCCAACACTAAAAGCTTCCTTTGACGCCCTTCCCATTCATAGAAGTTAAGTCAGATCCATGCATGACCTCACAAATTGACAGTATTTAAGAAAACATTCCAGATTATTACATGGCTTAATCACAGTATTATCACTGCTGCTTTTAGGTGTCCTGGCAACCCAAGAGAAGGAAAAAACTAAAAGGTGGTTACAATGACCTCACATTAGAGGCAAACATCTCTGACCACCTTGTCTACCAAGGATGGTCACAGGCCCATCTAGAATCACATCTTATTCCATAATCACTGACTTCAAGTTAAAAGAAAACACAGGGGTCGTCTTGTCTAATCTCGATTCCACTGCAGGAATAGCTTGGGTAGATGAGTTATGATTGGAGATGGAGAGTCAGTCATTCCTGGTGCACTCAAGGAGAGCCCCAAAACTAAATCCAGACCCAGTCTAACTCCTATTCCCCATAACAGTAGTACATCGGGATCGAAAGAAACAATGTGGCTTTTCAACTGACCTTCTGAAATTTTCTGGAGATAGCTAGCTCTTATGTAATCAATGTTGGTAGCATGGCCCCTTTCCCTGAGGAAAAGGATCTTATACCTCAAAATATATAGTAGAGACCCCACCCCATCCAACTTACGGGCCCAACCAAGCTGCTTCCAATGGCTTTTCCATACAAATGGCCTGTCTTGGCTCATGCTGCGGACTTTCCTAAAATCTCCCCAAGGGTCACATACCCCAGACAAGAAGCATCTAGCCTTACCTCTTGCTGAGCAGCCCCAAGTCTGGCACTAGCAGCAGCTAGACTCAGTTTGAGGCTCAGCCCTCCCAGGCACCTCCAGGCCCAGTGCAGTAGACAACCATCTGTGGATTACTCTGTGGCTCATTCCAGGTGGCACTGGCAGGCCACAGGCTGCAGCTGAACTTGGCCTGTGGTGGGGTCCCTCTCAGGAGGCCCCAGGGCCAGAATGCCTGGTAGCCTGCTTTAGACCAAGCTAGAGCCCCACCCAGCTACCTCCTTAGGCAACACACCCAAAAAGCAGACTGGGCATGCATCAGAGCCCTACTGAAGTGAATCCTGCTCTATAGGGTCAGCCCCTATACAACGGCTCCTCCACTGTAGTCACAGCCAGTCCTCACAACCAATCAGCCTAAGGGCTAATCCCTCCCAGTGACATGCAAACAGCAACCAAAGCTCAATTACAAGAGGAGGGCACACACAACACGCACAAGAGACACACCTGCCACACCCAGCTCAAGTGACCAGGGAGACTGCGCCACTGAGCCCCACAGGACACCTACTACATAAGGTCACTCTACGAAAACCAGGAGACATAGCAGCCCTACCTAACACATAGAAACAAACACAGGGAGGCAGCCAAAATGAGGAGACAAAGAAACATGTCCCAAATGAAGGAAAAAAACAAAGCTCCAGAAAAAGAACTAAACAATATGGAGACAAGCAATCTAACAGATGCAGATTTAAAATACTGGTTATAAGAATGCTCGATGATCTCAGTGAGAACTTTGACAAAGAGATAGGAAACATAAAAATAGAGATAGGAAAAAAATAGGCAGAAATGAAGAATGCAATAACCGAAATAAAAAATACATGAGAGGGAATCAACAGCAGATTATATGAAGCAGAGAATCAAATCAGCAATTTGGAAGATAAAGTAGCATAAAACATCCAATCAGAACAGCAACAAGAAAAAAGAATCCAAAAATATGAGGATAGTTTAAGGGGTCTCTGGGACAACATCGAGCATACCAACATATCATCATAGGAGTACCATAACAAGAAGAGAGGGAACAAGAAATTGAAAACACATTTGAAGAAATAATGACGGAAAGCTTCCCTAACCTGGCAAAGGAAATAGACATAGAAACCCAAGGAACACAGAGAATCCCTAGCAAGATGAACCTAAAGAGGCAAGACACATCATAATTAAAATGCCAGAAGTTAAAGACAAAGAGAGAATCTTAAAAGCAGCAAGAGAAAAGCAGTTAGTTACCTACAAGGGAGCTCCCATAAGACTCTCAGTTGATTTCTCAACAGAAACTTTGCAGGCCAGAAGGGACTGGCATGAAATATTCAAAGTGATGAAAAGCAAGGACCTACAACCAAGATTACTCTACCCAGAAAAGCTATCATTTAGAATCAAAAGACAGATAAAGAGCATACTAGACAAGAAAAGCTAAAGGAGTTCAGTATTACAAGAAATGTGCAAGGAACTTCTTTAAGAAGAAAAAAAAGATCAAAAATATGAGTAATAAAATGATAACTACATATCTATCGATAATTACTTTAGATGTAAATAGATTAAATGCTCCAATCAAAAGCTAGAATAACTGAATGGATGAAAAAGCAAGACTCTTACATATGCTGCCTATAAGAGACTCACTTTAAATGAAAAGTAACACACGGACTGAAAGTTAAGAAATTAAAAAAGATATTTTATGAAAATGGAACCTAAAAAAAAGCTGAGGTAGCAATACTTACACCAGACAAAATAGACTTGGAAAAAAAGGTTACAACAAGAGACAAAGAAGGACCCAGTAGTCATACTTTCAGGTATTTATCTGACAAAACCCAAAATACTACTTCGAAGAGACATGTGCATCCATATGTTCATTGTAGCATTATTTGTAAATATGCCTCCAAGATATGGAGACAACCGGAATGTCCATCAGTGGATGAGTGGATTTTAAAAAAAGATGGTACATATATGCAATGGAATATAACTCAGCCATAAAAAAGAATGAAATCTTGCCATCTGCAGCAATATGGAAGGACCTAGAGGGCATTGTGCTGAGTAGAGTAAGTCAGACAGAAGACAAATGCCATATGATTTCACATATATGTGGAATCTAAAGAATATAATAAACAAAAAAGAAACAAACTCAGAGAACATTTTGAGGGTTGGGAGAAGGGATTAAGAAGTACAAATTGTTAATATTTTTAGAAACCATTAAAAAAGAAATATAAATTGGTAGGTACAAAACAGTCATGGGAATGTGAAGTATAGCATAAGAAAGATAGTTAATAATATTGTAATAACTATGTATCATGTCCGATGGCTACTAGATTTATCTGGGTGATCACCTCATAAGTTATATAAATGTCTAATCACTATGCCGTACACTTGAAACTAATATAACATTGTATGTCAACTGTAATTGAAAAATTAAAAATTTAAAAAACAAAGCTATATGCATGAAACCTCGATAATACTAGCAAGAAAGCAAACAAGCAAATAAAGTCAGTCAGTCAGATTTAGGGAAATATATAGTGTACTCAGGGAACAGGATGGAGGGTAACAAAGCCCTGATAAGATAGTGGAAAATTCAGTAGGTGTCCAGGTGTTTCCTTAGTCCTACACTCAGTACCTTAAGTGCTATGATGAAGACCAGCATGACCAAATCTTTGTTTTCAAGTTTGAAAAACAACCCGCTAGAAGGGCGTGATCCTGAATGCTTAACACATGGGTAAGTCACCACATTATAAACTGGAAATATCCTTCCCATGGCCAAGGTGTGTCTGCAAAGTCACACATGCAGATCCCCCTTTCTCAGCCTATAACAGAGCAAGACTGCGATGCCTGCCACCACACACCTGTTGCTCTCTTAGCTCTCTAGAGAAGGACTGTTGAGACATGCTGGGGCCTGGCTTAAAAGTGTCCAAACTTCCTCTGCCCTCTTTTGCATCATGTATAACATGACTCCAAGGTATATCATAAACAGTGAAGTCTGTGAGACTCCCATAAAGATACGGAGAATGACCTGGCTGTGCTTATGAGCCGCATTCTGAATGATGGACATTTGGCTGTCGTGACTGAAAAGTCTCCTTCTCTCACATTTCAAATTCCCACACCATTCAAGGCCCAGCCGACATTGCACTGCTTCCATGATGCCACCAAGATGCTTCAAGCATCCAGGGTGATAGCTTCTCATCTCCTTGCAGAGTCCCAAGGCCTAGAACCTACCATCAAGTACTATTCTGTAAGAAGATTGCTTTTTTTCATCACCAGTTTGCCCTCTAAAGGGCTAAAGTTGAAGGCCTTAGACATAAGTTAAGCTCAGATGAATTGCTTGTAATAGTAAAATATGAATTTTAAAATAGGTTTAATTGAAATCATAACAATGAATTAGACTTTTGCTACTTGTTTTAAAATAATTGATGGGTTATTTTTGCCTGGAGAGCCCAGTTCCCCATACCTGCCTGGCCTACTCTGAGGGTCACCCACAGCTGGAGTTCGCAGCCAGGCCCGGAATGCCAGGACACCCTGATGCTTTTTCTCCTGTACACACTGAGGCTGGCAGAAGGAAGCCAGCCTTGACTGTTAGAAAAAAGTCCCTCCACCCGACTTCTCTGCCTTCAACGTGCATGGAACTCTGTCTGGGTGGTGAGAATCTGTAACCCTGAAGATTCTTCTGTCCAGGAACCGTAACAGACTCTGAGTCTCAGTGTCTGTGTAAAGGTATACTATTGAGTGAGAGAAGAACCTGCTACAAACTCTACTTTGCAGCTAAAAAAAAAAAAAAAAAACAACGTAGCCTTTAATCAGAGCATTACACCTTCTCGGGAGCTACAGCCCTCAGTGTCTATATTTATTTGGGACTGATGGGCCACATGCACATTTTATAGAAGTGCCCAAATCAGGCAACACTTTGGAAAAAGCTGGGAAGCTTTTCAAGATACAGATTCTCAGGCCTCACTCAGAACTAGACTCTAGGAAGTGGGCCTGCGAGTCTATACCTTCTGAAGCCAGGCATTCAGGGACCACCGTATCTCACCCAGCACTCAGTAGTTGCTCAAAGAAGCTCTACTGAATAAATAAGTCACTATAGCAACAAAAATGAAAAATGGAATGAAAAAACACTTCAGGCGACTGAAAAAAATTGACCTATTTTTTTACCCCCCAAAATTCTCCCACCCTTTCCTCTTCGCATGTCTCCACGTTGTCCAAAAAAAAAAAAAAAA